CATAATGACTTATGTATACTGAGAAATGACTACCACAGTAACATTGTTAGAGCCTTGCTGAAACATTTGTCAAAATGAGTAGATTTTGTGAGGTTTAGTTTTTCTCTGCTTTAATTATTTAAAGTGAGGCTTCCACTACTTCCCTTTTAGATTTGAGGACTAATCTGTCCCTAAAGTTATCATTTTCTGAATAGTCAAAAATGTTACTTATGCGGAATGAAATTTGAAAGCCAAAGTTTGAAAGTAACTTGGACCCAGCTTAAGGAAGTTTTATTTTGGAATTTTACCATTCAGACTTGATTCATATCAAGAGAAAACTGTAGTTTATGTGGATACTTAATTCCAGTAATGTCATTTAGAAGATCCCTGAAGACAAGGTAATTTGTACAGTGTGATCAGAATTCATGAATGTCTATAATTCCTGAAGACAATGCTGTGTTTCTGACAATAAGTTGCAGAACAAGTGGTTGAAAACAGGAAATTCCAGTTGATACATTGACTATTTGATCACAGCTACTGTTTAAATATAACCTACATTACTATGAAATGTCTTTCCCAGAGTAAGACACACTGCCTTCAGAAACACACTGAAAACTGGGGGCGCCTGGGTGGCTCAGTTGGTTAAGCGTCTGACTCTTGATTTCGGCTCAGGTCATGATCTCAGGGTGGCGAGACTGAGCCCCACATCAGGCTCTGTGCTCAGTGGGGAGTCTGCTTGAGATTCTCTCCCTCTTTCCCTCTCCCCCACCCATGTGCACGCGCACTCTCTCTCTCTCTCTCAAATAAATAAATCCTAAAAAATAAAAAAAGAAGCAGCACACTGAAAACAGAAATCCAGTGCAAAATGAAGCTCTGATGAGGAGGAGGCTTCCTGGGATGTCCTCTGCCAGGCAACAAATAGGACTGTGTGGGGCAGAACTACTTTCCCGGAAGCAAAGACACCAGTCACAAGAGCCTCAGGCAGAATTCTAGAGATACTGTACAGACCCCATCGCAGTGCATGGCCTATGTTGGATATCCAGCAAATGTTAACTTCTTTTTTCTCCACTCCATTTCCAGTTATTGCCCCACCCCCTCACCACTACCTCAAATACAGTATCTTTGAGGTTTCTGAGTTAACCACAGTGTTTGGTAGACTAATCAAGAAGCAGGCTAACTGGATAAGCTGGTACAACGCTTTCCTGGGCCCACATGTTTAACTGTTAGGAGAAGGAGTGCACTGTCAGCCTTCTGTGCAGGCATTGATTAGACCCGAAATAATTTAAGGGCTGGCCACCAAGCAGGACTCTCTGCCCCAGACTGTCAATGCCAACTGCCAGGTTTGACGCCCACAATTGTTTTGTTAGAAATTCCAGTGTCTATAATATTATTCCATCTTCAGGACACCTATTTTAAAATAACTCTGAGTTCTATCAACTCCACCTTTAAAGCATATCTTGAAACTGTCCACTTCTCTCCCTTTCCACCGTTACCACCCTAGTCCAAGCAGCACAACCCCTCTCGCCTCAGCTATGGAAAGAGCCTCCAAAGAGCTGCCCTTTTTCTCCACTTTTCACAAGCCATTTGTCTCATAGTCAAGGCATAATTCAAATAAGTCCCTTGCTTAAAGGCTTCCAGCAGCTTCCTCCGCATGTCGTCATGGGTTACAAAGCCCCTTAGAAGATCCAGCTCCACCTAGCTCTCTGATTTCATCTCCTACCACTCTGCCCACACTCACTCTTGCCCTTTCTCCTACTCAAATGTGATAGCCAGCTCCCGTTTCTCCCTGATATTCAGGCCTTCTCAGACTAATGCTGTACCCCGCATACACATTCCCAGCTACTCTCTTCTCATACACGATTTTACTGCCCTTACAGTACCTACCTCTATTTAAAATAATCAGTTTCTTTGCTTCTTATGCCTTTAGGCAGGGGATTTATTTGAGTATGACTTGACTTCTCTGTGGTGAATGGCTTCTGGAAAATATAAAAGCTCTAGAATATGAACCATATGAGAGTGGAAACCTTGCAGATCTTGTTCACTGCTCAATCTCTAGGGTCCTATGAGTGCCTGGCACATAACAGGTGCTCAGAAAGTAATTGCTGAATGAGTAATGGTATCACCCAATTAGGTGGCCCTGTCTTGGTTTTCAAAATTGACCTTTATGACTTCCTTGATGATGCTTCTTAAATAGCTCCTTCTTTGGAATGTGACACTGTGTTATACCAGTTCCTGGCTCCTGCCCTCCTTCTACTACTAATCCCTAAAATCTCATCTTTCTCAAGGTCCTTTCTTTTCCTTTCTTTCCTGTCTGCATTCTCCCTCAGAGTCTCATTCATTCTCATTGTTTCAATCATCACCTTTGAAGAGAGTCCCCGTCTTCACATCTGTTCCCATTGATCTCTATCTGCATTTACTGAGAGTTTCTAATTGAACATGCCCATTATTAAAATACCCTCTCATCCTCTGTAATACATCCTTCAAATTGAGACTTCCCCATCTCTGTAAAATGACTCCACCATTATCCTAGCCACAGTTGATCTCTCCTCCTCCCTCTCATCCAGCCCCCATATCCTATTAGTAAACAAACTCCCCCTCATTCCTGGGCAAAATCTCAAATTCCATCCCACACTCAAAGTGTTTTGCCATTACCTTACTGATGGGTCTGAACTTCTGAACTTATATAGGGTCATTTTCTATTTCATAGAAAATCAGAATAGGACAGGAGCCATGTGACCATCTAACTAAATCCCCACGCCTTACAGACAAGGAAAAGGAGGGCCAGCCTGGTTAACTACCATGGCCATGGTACTAGATGGGGAGTGCTGAGCACAGTGCCAGAACCAGAGCTCAACCTCCAGGATGGCACTCTCTCTGTAATCTTTGGGAAATGGCCAAGGAGAGAGGAAGAGCCAAGAGGGTCCTGAAAGAAAAGCACCAAGAGGGAAGATGAGTAAAGGACACTGAAGACGCACACTTTGTTGACTTCCCAATTTTACTTCATGCTGCCCCGAAGAAGGCTGTATCTTGAATGAGTCCTTGGAGTTAATAATGATTATTTGTCCTGAATACCTGCAATTGTCACTATTGGTCTGCCTCACGGGGGTGCCAGATGCTATCAAAGCACTAATTTGATTTTCACCTACACAGTACAAATCAACTTCTGATACAGCCTGTGGTTGTGCTCCTAACCCTGGTCTTAAACCCACATTCGTGTCTGACAAAGCAGACACTTCTCTTCTGAGACAGCAATTGGCAAATGACTCCAGGAGGCAGCCCTCAGCTTGTGTTAAAAGAAGACCTGAGCCTCACTGGTAAACTGGGAGCTCTTAAACCTCTGCAATCACCAAGATCCAGGGGATGAGACTGTCCTCATATGACCCCCACTCCTCCTGAAGCACACGTCAGTATTACTTCTATCTTTCTCTGAATGCAAATTTAGGGTCTACTTCACAGCTGTCCACAGTGGTTGGTTCACAAATGGGTTGGTTCAACTTATATCATAAGTTCAGGAACCATATGCCACTGTGACATTAAACAGTGAAGTCAGGCTCATATCTTTCTTTAAGGAAAACTTTATTCTAAAACCCAGCTATGATTAAGGGGAAAAATGAATTTGGAATGTATCAATAAATAGGCTTCTCTAAAATTTATTTCAGAGAATTTTGATCCATTTTAGAGTAATATAGTCACCCAGACCCTCTCAAATTCCGTGGTTGGTAGGATGGAGTATGTTCTGTCAACACTGCTTCCCTCCACAGTCAGTGATGGTTGGTAAAAACCCGCTTAAAAGGTTCTGGGACCAGCCCAGAGAATGTATCTCTTCTAACATTGCTGAGAAAGTGGTCTGGAGTGCACAGAAAATCAGGTGTTCTTTTCCTTGGTTCTTGGGCCTTGATGTTCAAGTTATACGTGATTGAAGATAAATCCTGAATAGTTTAGAGCTCCATAGGAAAGACATAAATTTTATTCAGGCTTATTGGGAGCATCTTTGTTGTGGAGCCGTTCATGTTTTTTCCTTCTGGTTACCTTAACTGAGATACAGTACTCAGGAGTTAAGGTCATAAAGTTAAGTACCTATGTGGTCCCACTCCAGGGACCAAATCCACTGGGCTTCTCCTTTCTTATGTCAGATAAATAAGATTAAAATGAGCATCAAGGACAGCTGTGAAGTAGACCCTAAATTTGCATTCAGAGAAAGATAGAGGTAATATTGAAGTGTGCTTCAGGAAGAGGAGTGGGGGTCATACGAGGACAGTCTCATCCCCTGGATCTTGGTGATTGCAGAGGTTTAAGAGCTCCCAGTTTACCAGTGAGGCTCAGGTCTTCTTTTAACACAAGCTGAGGGCTGCCTCCTGGAGTCATTTGCCAATTGCTGTCTCAGAAGGGAAGTGTCTGCTTTGTCAGACACGAATGTGGGTTTAAGACCAGGGTTAGGAGCACAACCACAGGCTGTATCAGAAACAGATGGGACAAGAGCCCTGGGCTCATTCACAGCACACTGACACCTTCTACTTATCATCTTTCTTCCCTGCAGTTAGTAGAGGCCACCAGCCTAAGGCAACCAACATATACTGCCAGTCACCTCCACAGCCTTTCAGAGAAGTCAAGAGACCTTGAGGTTTTCAGTATATGGAGAAATGAAAAAATGCCTAAATAGGGTTACAGAAATGTTGGTACATTTTAAATATTTACATTTAACAAATTGCTGCTTTTAATACACACACACACACATACAAAACACCACAAAAAAAGGGAATTACAGAATTTATGAAACTAGAGCACTGTGGGTGGTGTAGTCCAGATAATGGGACACAAGTTTAACGTGGTCCAGTGGGTACTGTCTTCTTTCAGTCCTCTCAGTGTAACTCTGGACGTCCTATTCATGTCCACAATTGAGACCCTTCCTGCCTGGGAAGCCCAGGCCAGACGGCCCTCTCCGTCCCCCTGTGATGGGTACTGTCCTCCTCTCCCAAATGTTCCTAATTAAAAATCTTTCCTTGACCGTAAGCCAATCACACCACCTGCTCCAACTTACCGTGATATTATAAAGGAGGCAAAAAGACAATTTGCAAGGAACCAAAAGGAATTTCGGATGTAAGTTGGTGCCATACTCTTGTTAAATAGAAAATCACAAACTCTTTTTGAGCTGGAAGTAATCATAGAATTCATCTACAGTAAGCTCCTTATTTTACCAGTGAGGAGAGTCACTTCTGAGTGTCTAACAGACTTGGAGATTCTTTTCTGGTAAGTGTCAAGGATGCATGTTGGAGCCGTGGAGCCATGGCAGGTGTCAGGGATTGAAGGAAGAAAGAAAGCTTTGCTGCGCTGTGGTTGGGGGGATGCACCCCAGCATGGAAAGCCCAGAAGAGAGCTCAAGGGACTGAGTACTGTTTATTTACAAAGAAGAGCCCTGGAAGAACAGAAAGGTGTGTTTGCAGCATGAGTTCCCTGGAGCTGGAGTGGCAGTTGGGGCGGCACTGAGGAAAGCACAATCAAATACAGCAAAGAGAGGGAAATGGAAGAACAGCCAGGCAGGTCTTATCCAGCAGGCAGGACAAAAGTTTGAGCCTCTGCTTTCCAAGAGTGCCCGTTCCCCTCCCACCTTCCTCTAGCCCCCCAATCCCCCCCACACATGCCCACGCACACACAGCCCTTAGGTTTCCTGTGCCCGGTTGGAAGAACGGGTATGGACACTTGGTGAGAGGGCCCCTATGGAAGCAGCAAGGCGGAGTCCAAACCATACCCAGGTATCACGGGTGACGTCTTTGGTATGTATTTATAGGAGGGGGTGTTCTGGGGGACTCCTCACACCAAGTAGTGCATAGGGAGGGGATGCTGAAGAATTGGGTTTCTAAAGGACTTTCACTGACATGAAGTCAGAGAATTGTTAATTTATTCTTTCCCAATTAGAAATCCTGCTTTATTTTAAAATTTAATTTGAAATTTTGATTTTATAGAGAAAAGCACAGAATTAACGAAGAAATAAAACTCCTAAAACAGCGGCAGGAAAGAATTGACAAGGAGCTTGATAGGTTTGTTCCTTATTCAACTTTGTAGTGATTAAAAACATTTTAACTGAGGGGCGCCTGGGTGGCTCAGTCGGTTAAGCTTCCGACTCTTGGTTTTGGCTCAGGTCATGATCTCGCGGTCATGGGATCGAGCCCCATGTTGGGCTCTGAGCTCAGTGCAGAGTCTGCTTCAGATTCTCTCTCCCTCTCCCTCCCACTCATTCTCTCATTCTCTCAAATAAATAAATTAAAAATCTAGGGGCGGGGCGCCTGGGTGGCTCAGTCGTTAAGCGTCTGCCTTCGGCTCGGGTCATGGTCCCAGGGTCCTGGGATCAAGCTCCGCTTCGGGCTCCCCGCTCAGCGGGAAGCCTGCTTCTCCCTCTCCCACTCCCCCTGCTTGTGTTCCCTCTCTCGCTGTGTCTCTCTCTGTCAAATAAATAAATAAAATCTTAAAAAAAAAAAAATCTAGGGGCACCCAGGTGGCTTAGTCAGTTAAGCAGCTGCCTTCAGCTCGGGTCATGATCTTGGGGTCCTGGGATGGAGTCCCACATCAGGCTCTGTGCTCAGTGGGGATCCTGCTTCTCCCTCTCCCGCTCCCCCTACTGTGCTGTCAAATAAATAAATAAAATCTTTTAAAAAATAAAATAAATTAAAAATCTATTAAAAAACCATAAAACATTTTAATTGAACAAATGTGTTACATAAAACTACAATGGGTTTATTATGTAAACATACATCAACTCAGATATCTGCAAAGAGATTTTCTACTCAAGAGTCCATCTGGAATAACATTTTGACCTTCTTTGTCCACAGAACCAACTACTCTGCTAATTTAATTAACTGCTAAACATCACCATCATCTCCTTTTACTCTTCAGCTTTAGGACTTAAGCTGAAGGCTTTTTAAAAAAATAAAAAATAAACCCTTAACCATGCCCTGCCCTAGGGAAGATGTAAACTAGAAAAACAACCTATTTAGCTGGTCTCCCTTGGGCTAGTTCTTTGTTCCCCTTCTGCCCCTACACACACAAACATTTTTTGGGCACATTTAATTTGTTTATTTTACAAATTAGAGTATAAAAAGGAAAACTATAAAGTATTGAGACTAACCTACTTCTAGCATACCCACATGCACAAGAATGTGTCAGATGAGCGCAGCCCTTCAGACGGGTGCCTTGCAAGACCACAGCTGTGTGCCATTCATCTTTTAATTACTATTTTGGAACTTAAAAAGCTAGTTTCCTATAGAGCTGTCAAATCACTATGTTGTACACCTGAATCTAATGTAACATTATACAGATGCTATACTTCAGTTTAAAAAAAAAAAACAACTAGTTTCTGGGCTCCTGGCTGGCTCAGTCAGTGAAACATGCAACTTTTGATTTTGGGGTTGTGAGTTCGAGCCCCACATTGGGTGTAGAGATTACTTAAAAATAAAATTTTAAAAAATAAATAAAATAAAAATTAAAAAGTTAGTTTCCCATTACAGGAGAAAATCCACTCCATTACTTTAGAATATTATCTCACTTTTTACCAAATATCACCCAAATTTCCCCTTCACAATACCTACATTAGAAAATCTGATTGCAAGGGCGCCTGGATGGCTCCAGTCGGTTAAGTGTCCGACTCTTGGTTTCAGCTCAGCTCATGATCCTCAGGGTCTTGAGATCAAGCCCCATGTCAGGCCCCATGCTGGACATGGAGGCTGCTTGGGATTCTCTCTCTCCTCCTCCTTCTGCCCCTCTCCATCTCCCCCACCCCCCACTCTCTCTCTCTCAAAAAAGAAAGGAAGGAAGGAAGGAAGAAAGAGAGAGAGAGAGAAAGAGAAAGAAGAAAGGAAAGAAAGAAGAAAGGAAGATAGAAAGAAAGAAAAGAAAGAAAGAAGAAAGAAAGAAAAAAAGAAAGAAAAGAAAGAAAGAAAGAAATCTGGTTCCAGGTGACTTTTACAAGTTCCCCCAAATTAAATCTATATGGGACAGGATTTCTCATCACTGAGGATGTAACAGAAGAATGTAGGACAGTCAGAGCAATTTGCAAGAAGCACTCAAATATGTTTTATGCAATGGGACATTGTTAGAGAAAATAAAGGGAAATATTCATATATATAAATCTCATATGCCTGTTAAATCTATAGGCACAGCATACACATTTCTATCTGTAACCTTCAAAAAAGAGATACTCATGGAGAGGAAAGGAAAGATAAGCAGAAAGATGGGGGTTAGGTAGTGGTGGTGGTTACAGCCACTGAATTGTACACTTTAAAAGGGTGAATTTTATGGTATGAGACATATGTCAATAAAACTGTTATTTAAAAAAGACAAGAGGGGCACTGTATATTAAAAGGGTGAGTCAGAAGATGGCTTGATTTTAACAAAGTGAGATGAACCAGAGTTCATCTGAATATGACTCGCATCTCAAGGAGATTCTAAGAGGGTGTTACCGAGAAAGGGCATCAGGAATATTTTGGAGTGTGTTTAAATAGGACTATGAGAAAGAGACCCAGACTGGGAGAGCCAGATTTGAGAAAAGCGGGAGAGGAGAGACCCAGAGGGTAATCCTAAGTGAGGAGAAAAGCCAGTGGAGGAGATAAAATGGGCAGAGATAAAGCAGAAGATGAGTGAGGGGCATTTGTGGGCGGCAGAGCACTAACACAGGAGGCCCTTAAAGAGCTAGGCCTACTGCGCCCCCAGGGGTGCCCGACGCTAAATGCTAAAAACCGAGAGAGGCGGCCTTGCAGGGAGGCTAACCTAAACTTTGTGCTTTAGCAACGTATATTTGGAATTTTCCGAAATGTTTACTTCCTACAAATCCCATGGAGGAAAAATAATTTTAAAATGTCTCACTTGAAAATTGCCAGTGAAATTAATAGCCAGCCATACGTCCTTTTTTCATTTTTGTTTCTCTTGCTAATGTTTCTCCTTCATCCCCAGTTCTTACCCATCCTAGCTTTTCCCTACCCCTGCCTCTCCCCTCATCCACAGATCTCTGTAAAGTTTTCTGCTGCCTCTTGAATTCAGCTATCCAACTCCTTCCTAAATATTTCTTGAATGAGTACTCGGTGACAAAAATCAGGATAGATTCCTGGATTCCTGCGTCCACGAGCTTCCAGCCTTGTCCGTCCCTTTCCCCCCAGATGTCTCCCCTGCCAGCCCCTTGTACTCTTCTGTCCCCATGGACACTCCTTAAAGTCTGCGCCAGAGCCGGGCAAGCGAAATCAGTTCAGCAAATACTGTGCTCACTCTCTCCTCACTGAAGAGAATGCTTCACTCCGGTGGTTGAATTGAAGGCTCGAGTCACACTGCTTGGGTTCAAATCCTGTATTACTTGCTAGCTGTATGACTGTGGGCAGGTTAATTAACCTACCTGAGCCTTTTTATATATAATAGAAAAAATATATCCAGTATATAATACTGGATAATAGTACCAACTTGATAAGACTGTTGTAAGGACAATTGAATGAATATATGTAAACTGCTGGTAAATGCCCAGCATATTAAATTTTGTGTAAATGTTAGCTCTTAGATGGTGTCAGTATAAAAACAATTGGTTTGGCTACTGATTTTTTTTTTAATTTTTTGATTAGACTCCAGGCAAAGGCTACCAAAAAACCTTACGAAGTTAAGAGTGACTTTGAGAATTTCCTCCATAAACTGGTATGTTTCCCTTTTGAAGATAATTGAGAATTCTCTCTGTAGCTTCTCTTATATGGACTGGACAACATTTAATAAGCAATATATGGTTTCACATCCAAGTCACAGTGGCAAGGTAGAATACACTATTGTCATTTAATCATCCACGTGTACATTTAAGGTAATCTGTTTTTCATAGTAGTGACGACCTCATGCCCACTTATCCTCATCCCTTGCTTCCGACCACGGGCAGTTTATGCAACTGAAAACCTCCAAATGTGGTCAAAATTTCAAACTAATAGAAAATCATCAGTGTGTGAAGTCATATTTTATTTTCTGTTAATAATTCAGTAAAAAATATATTGGTTTCTAATGACCGTGTTAGATGAATGGTCCCTGCAGAAATTAGAAGGTTCTAAACAGGACTCAGATGAGAGAGAGGAAGAGAAGAAAGGAGACTGCTCCGTCTTTCCAGTTTTCTCTGTCCCCTCCTCATGCTCTTCCTTAACTTCTGGGCAGTTCTGTTAAATCTGAAGGTTCTTCTTCCCTTCCAGCAAGCAAAAACATGTAGAGAAAAAGGTGCAATAAATGTGGGGGTTGGGAAATCTGAGGTCAGAAACAGGAGAGAGCTCTTTATTTTTAGCATGTCTCTAGAACGATCCTCATTGTCTACTGCTGTGATGTCAAAAACAGAGGTCAAATAATCTAATCAAATTCCCGTCTGAGCCAAAAGGTGAGAGGAGGGAGTAAAACACCTGGGTATTTAATATTAAACAAATAGGACTATTCTTTACTTCTGCACAAAAAAATTCTTTCTCCTATTCTTCTTGGTCTCCCTTCACTACTACTACAGACATGGGTACAATTACTTCTGAGGTATAAGAAAACCACTGTGCCAGTGTGCTGGTGGAAGGCAAGTGACCTCAGAGGGTATGTGGTACATGGCCTGAGTATTGGGGAAAGTACAGGTTATGGAAACTGTAGCACACTGAAGGGCCCACGCCTCATCCAAACAAAGCAATACTGCAGCTCTAGTTCACACACACACACACACAGACACACACACCGCCCCCCACCAGGAGTGGAGGCCAGTGGAGAAGCAGATCTTCCACCATCAGGAATCCAGATTCTTCTGTAGAATTCCTGATTAGAACCCCACATTTGTCAATACTCTGGGGGCCAAACTAAATGTATCTGCAGACCAGATGTGGCCCATGGGCTGCTGGGTTTGTAACCCCTCCTCTAAATGCTGGACTTGGAGCTCTTCAAAAGCTACCTCCAGCCAGTATAACCTATCTTCTCCACCATATCCCAGGGCAAACTCCTCACCCCCACTGAACCTTCTGAATACCCCATGTTTGCTCATACTCATATACTCACCCATCTGCAGTGCCTACTCCCCAGCTTTCAAATTCTACTCATCCTTTAGGGCCCTGCTCAAATTCCACCTTCTCATGAAGCTTTTTTCCAGTTGTCCTAGCCCCAACCTTCCCAGAAAAGTTTGAGATCTCTCATAATTTCTAGAATAACAGTGATGATTTAATTGAAAAACAGTTCTTTTCTTCAAGCCAGACATTGAGACAAATAGAGAGTAGATCCCTGGCTCAGAACGACTGCGTCCTCCAAAGCAGAGGGCACGATGGAAATTTTTACTCACCTGTTGCAAGAAGGAATCTCATGGTGAAAAATTTAAATAGAATAGCAAAGCAATGGAAAGTACCACATTTTTTGTTTTTTGGGTTTGGGGTTTTTTTTACAGTAATCCAGGTATCTTTAAATAATTATGTACCAACCACAGATCTTCTGTGGAAAATGGAAAGGTATTTAAAAACAAAGAAATACAATCTGGGGTGCCTGGGTGGCTCAGTCTGTTAAGAGTCAGCGTTTGACTCAGGTCATGATCCTGGGATCCCAGAATTCCTCACTTCTCCCTCTCCTTCTTCCCGTCCTCACCCCCACCCCAGCTTGTGCTCGCTGTCTCTCTTGCTCTCTCTCACTCTCTCTCAAACAAATAAATTTTAAAATTTTAAAAAACAAAGAATTATTTAAAATCAATTCAGATTTTGGATTATTGGGTGTTGTAAAACTCAAAATTCTTTCAACAAATTTGACTTAAGGTTTCTCAATCTCAAGTGTTTACCTTTCTTTAAAGAATGAAAATGCACCAGGAGTTTGTTTTAGAAGAATGGGTTTCCTAGTACTTTATATGACTGCTGTCCTTTGAGAAATACTAGAACCAGCTTTGCCTTAGCCTCTCTGAAACTGAGATTCAAAATGATGATGTCCAGTCTTTAAGCTGTACATTAATGAGCAAAACAATCATAGAATAATACAAAATTGTGGTAATTTTCTGGATAATTCATACCATAAGACTGCTGCTGCCTCAATTATCCGATAATATTAGCAAAATGTTTTTTGGTCTAAATCTTCCTATAATTCAGGAAGGCCCTCTTGCAAGAAAGCCATTCACTTACCATCACCACATTACACATCACCACAAACACTTCTGGCCACTTTTTTTTTTTGACCACTTTTGATAAATATATACAGGACTCACCAACACCCCTACCCAATCCCAGAACCTACTCTTACCCACAGGCCTGCACACCCGTCCTCCACTGGTCAACATATACACACGAGAGCGGCTAGTCACACAACAGACCGTTGCAGGGCCTGGGTGCGGTTTCCCAGACCAGTAAACATGCCTTTTGGATCAGAGTGGCATTTGAGAAAAGTTAGCATAGAGTGGGAAGAAAGTAAATTCAATGAACAAATTGAATTATCTGAATTATCATCCAGATAATTCTCTATTTCAATGTGAACAGAGATAAAGACGGAAAGCGTCTTTTATCTAAGTTTCTCTATTAAGTGATAGAGAAAGGTCAGGGCCAAAAGAATTGAAAGTGATTATTTATGTGATAGCACATAGTTTTTAAAAGTAAATGAGCCTAAATCCATCTTTGCTTTAAAAAAAAAAAAGTGATTCTTCTCATCTTGATAATTGGTGTAACCTCACATTCAAGTATCCAGGAAAATTTATCAATCTTTAATAACGTATTATTCTAATAGCGTTCTGAAGCTCGAACCAAGAAAGAGTTTCTGGCATCACTCTCATCATCATCATCAACAGAAGACTACAATTATGAAGAAGAAGAAAGTCAAGAGAAACCAGAAATGAACTGTGTTTAAGAATATGGCATACAATGCAATTGTATCCTTTTAATTGTAGCAGTATGTTTAATTCAATGCCAATCCATGGGGTCAGTATCGAATGTCTTTTATCATTCATCTTAAAAAATCCTGAAATCAATAAATCTCAGTAAATCATCCTTAAGAGATCTGTCCAAGCATAATTTTGGCTCTTATTGGTAGAAACATATTTTAAAATGGAAAAATAATCATTATGAAGCATAGAGAGCTTTCAACCATTTCTTTGGAAATACATCTTGATAATAGCAACCGTTCATCATAATACAAAACAAAGAGGATTAATTTCCTGTGGCATAAGAAGTTCTGCCAGTCCTAAATGCCCTAAATAGTTTCTCTGAGATTTTTTACATTATTTGGGCCTCAAGGAAAACCAAAGCCCCGCCTCCAGGTTTGGTAGCAAACAAACTCTGCTTCTCAAATGTGACGTTTCGGTCGCTCCTCTGGTAATAAGCTTCGTGCACGTTTGCTAGGAAGCTGGTCAGCTTCTCAGCAGGTACTAGCGATACCGTGCAGCCTCCCCATCCTGCTCCAGTGAGTCGTGACCCTTGAGCCCCAAACTTCCTAAAACAGTGAGAAAAAAAACACACATTAGAACCTGTAAATGAAAATGAGAGTGGTTTGCCTGGTGCGTAGAGAGAACACACAGCCTACTCAAGTTCTAAGAAGAGAATATGTGTGGGTTTCTTTGTGAGGGAGGGGGAGGGTAGTTCAGTGTGGCCAAACACTAGGACATGAAGAAATTTATAGTGTTTCAGAAGGTGATTGGAAATTTAATTGTATCTAAAACTAGGCCATGATTCTGGCTCTAAGCAGTAAAAATTAGCAGTACTATTTGGTGAGAGCTGACAATAACCCACTATATAGTCTTGATCCCATAAAGTCACCAATTAAGCAGTTGTATACAGCAAGCTTACAGGTGATCAAGAAGAGGCAACAGGCATGATCAACATTATGAATCAGAAGGTGGCTCCAAATGAGGTCAAATCCAAATTTAAAGTGCAAGTCTTATACAAGTGAGGACTTCCTCCAGTGGCTGTTTAAGGTGTGTTCTTAAGGCTTGGCTATTCCACATAAAAGAATCCGTCCCCTAGAACAGATAGCCTAGATTTGTGCTGAATAAATTTATCCACAAAGAACATATTATTAAACTCTAGATCAGTTTGTCTGTTTAATCTCTAATGGGAAGTTATGCAGACCTTTCCACAAAAAGGACAGTGGCCTCTACATGTCCATATGCATCTTCCCTGCACCTTTGGGAGCTGGTCTAACCACTGGACTCAGAATTTACCATTAGCCAAACTCTGTGATAGGGATGGAAACCCCTATTTAAACCACCACACAAAAAGAGGTCATTTTAGTCACCATCAACCAGGCACAGTTTCAAACCTGAGATCTGTACCAAAGTGAGAGGCCCTACGCAAAGCACAAGGGTCCCTCATCTTTAAAAGATGTCATTTATCCTGATAATAAAAGTTAACATGTACTTCCAATTCTTCCTAATAAAATTTACTCCAAATTCATAGCAGATTAAAAACTCCATAATTAGTTTAGCACAATTTTGTCCCCTTTTTTCCATCTAAATGAGCTACTTTACTTCCTGGAAAATATCAATAGAATATTAACCCTCCTCTAGGACATCAGATTTATGGCACACCAGTAATTCATTTTCCCCTCAATGATTTTTTCAGTTGATTCCTTTTCATCATCTGTTTTATTCATTAAAGTTTATTTTTCAAATGAAAATAGATGTTTAAGGGAGAAAACAAGATGCTTTCAAATAATAAAGATTACTCATCTCCTGCTGTCCCTCAGACATTCAGCTTATAGCCCAGTAGCTGAACTGAGCCTGGACTCCTATCATCCAGGCTGAAAAGTTTCTCTGACTGTGGGATTCTAGGAGATTCTAGGATAATTCTGAGTTCCCAGGCTGGCAAAGGGTCATTCTGCAACTTAGTGATTTGAAAGACAAAACAAAAAAAATAAGTTGTGATATGCAGTCACATCAGACTATCTTTCCCATGGAAGATGCTGAAATAAAAAAGGAGGTGTCACTGAGGCATCTCTGGAAGACCCTAACATCAGGGCATCAAAGCCATCCGGGGCATGGTCTAGAGAACAACAGGGTGCCCTCCTATATGATTCTCTAAGATCCAAGCTCTGCCATTGTGCTGGACTCAAACCAACCAGGTCCTTTATGGTCTTCAGTGGACTTCCAGGCATATTTTCTTACACTTTCTCATTTGAACAGTTTCTGAAAGCTGTGGTTTCAAAACTGAACCTGAAGCAAACTGAGTGTTGTTTCTAACTGGCTGCAAAACCCATAGGAATTGTGCCAAAGGGCTTATTTTCCTCCGTATCCTGCTAGTCTCCAGAAAGCAGAAGCTAGAAGTCTTTCTGGGTAAATATATTCACTTCTGAGTCTCCAGAGGTGCTCTGTCGCCACCCTGCCTGCTGCAGACAGAAATGGACTAGGCTGCATCAGCCACAGGATCCGAAATCATCAGGGCTCCAATTTCCCCAACAGAGAATGATAAATGCTATTATAAATAGCCTTCTGCCCCTGAGTCAATGGCACTTGTGGTCACAAATCAGGGGGCTGCCCCACTAGCTGGTCAGCAGCCTGCCCGGCTATATACACTGACAAAGGGCAGAAAGGTCCTGTCTGCAGTGTTCCAAACTGGTCCTTAATATGTATGCCCTTTGGCATATGCCGTAGAAATTCAGGGAGAGGGGCACCTGGGTGGCTCAGTCGTTAAGCGTCTGCCTTTGGCTCAGGTCATGATCTCAGGGTCCTGGGATCGAGTCCCGCATGGGGCTCCCTGCTCGGTGGGAGGCCTGCTTCTCCCTCTCCCACTCCCCCTGCTTGTGTTCCCTCTCTCGCTGTGCCTCTCTCTGTCAAATAAATAAATAAAATCTTTTAAAAAAAAAAAAAAAAGAAATTCAGGGAGAAATCCAGAAGTTAGGAGACCAGTATAAGCTTCATATTAAGAAAGAAGAGTGGATGAGCCATATTTTTCCTGTGAGAACAGTTAAGACATTAAAAATACAGATCCTTGAGGTCTTGCACATCAGAGAAGCAAAATACAAGACTTATGAAAACCAAAGCCCTAGAATCCCCCAAAAACCACTTTTTTGTGGTGACCGGATGGGAAATAATGTGGAAGGGTTAGTCAAAACAACAAAAGTAGCCTCTGCCTTATCATAAGTGTGATCTATGAAACAAAACAACGGCTAGGGCAGATGAGAGATGAGATTATAAAGAATGTTCCCTTTGATCCTTTTATCACTGAAAAGTACATCCATATAACTAATTTTCCAGGCACCTAATATAGCCTGATGAAAATGTCCTACTCTAAACGAATTGATTGGACCATAAAGCACTTACTAAGATACAAGGTACAGAAAAAGGTATGGGGGTGGAGGGAGATCCAGTAAGACCCAACTCTGCTATAAACTACAAAGGAAAGAAGCAAGGAATTGTATTGTATTGTATTTCAATTCAATTTTATTTATTTCCAAATATTTTTAATTTAGAGACAGGTTATATCTCTCTAACCCCAGCCCAGCACAATTCCAAACATTTGGTAGCTTCTAATAAATCCTTGTTGGATTATTATTATATTTGTTTTAAAATATCAAAATATAAATTCAGGCTATTTTGTTATTTAATTAAGGTTAGAAAACTTCAATTATGTGAAACAAAGTATAATAATAAAGAGACCATGTCCAAACAATTATAAAATATCTCTTTTGAATGAACAAAATATATATATTTTTAAAGATTTTATTTATTTTTGCAAGACAGAGAAGAGAGAACACAAGCAGGGGGGAGTGGCA